AAGGGGCAGGAGGAGGTGCATGTTCACGCTCCCATAGTGATTTCAGATGCTGGAATCTTCAATACCTACGAACATCTCCTGCCCAAAGATGTGCAGACTATGCCTGGTAAGAGAGAGCCTATGTTTATTCTGCTTTTTAGGAAAAAGATTCTCATAAAGCTACTCAATGTACTTCATATTGTAGTTTGTGTTTGTTATTACAGTTTGTCTTTAAAATGTTCAAACATTTTATTTATGTGAAAGATCCATCAATATTAGAATCGCAGTTCAACAAATGAAAAATGATATAATTTATTTTCAATTAATATATCTTTAAAAGAAAGTCTAATTATATAATTATATAATTAAGTTGTCATTGTTATTGAGGTTTTGTAGCTGGTGCTCAGGGAGAACATGGGGCTGCTGCTAGATCTATGTTTTCATTCTGGTATCCTGTCAAGAGTAGGTTTTACTAAATGAAATTAGAGAATCTATTTGCAGCAGTCAGTATTTATTAGACAAAACAAAAACAAAACAAACTGGTACTGTAGGCACAAGAGAAACACAGAGGAAATCTAACATTAGAGTAGTATATTTTTGGAAAGTTCCTTTAATGTTATTATTGCAAAAGAGATAATGATTTTTATCAATTAATAATTAATAATAATAATAATAAATAAATGTATTAATTCTTTGTTTAACAAATTTTAAACATATACTTTATTTTTGTGAAAGATTAATCAATGTTATCATTGCAGTACAACAACAAAACATCATTGTTAGCAATGCTGACATTGCTGGATCTTTTATATAAAGCATAGGTTTGAAATTCTAATGCTGTGATATCAGTGAAATTGAAACCTCTTTGCTGTGATGTTTGTGCTCTTATTAATGTGAGCATACTGTTTGGTGTTTTTGTGATGGTACTGTGCAGCGATCCAAAAACAGTTGAGTATGGTGCAGCATGGAGATGGTGGTCTCAGTATTTTCATTGGTGTGGATGGGACAAAAGAGGAGTTGGGCCTAAAAGCAGACAATTATTTTATCTTCCCTGAGAACAATTTGGATGAGCTGTGAGTGGGAACCTATTTTCCTAAATAGTATGCAAGTGCTTGTTCATTTCTAAATCACTGTCCACTGTAACATCAGCACTGCTCTCATTTTGTGATCATGTCTGCTGTTCTTTCAGACTGGAGGGTTACATGAAGGGAAACAGGGAAGAATCTTCTAAAAAGATCCCTTTGATTTTTGTGGCCTCACCCTCTGCCAAAGACCCAACCTGGCCAGAAAGAAAACCAGGTAGAGAGAAAATAAGAAGATGAACTGATGTCATGTTCACATCTGGAGTTAAGGTTGTTGCCATCGGATTGCAAGTGGACAAAGCTGTAAATGTAGTCCAGAGTGTTCTGAGCTTGTCTACATTTGACAACAGGAACGTACAAATGTGATGTGGTTGGATCCGTTTTTAAAGACTCTCCACTAAAATAACTGACACTGTGTGATTCTGTTTGATGCATCATGTTCGCAGTTAAATTAAAATCCAAATATACTTCACCTACAGGTAAATCCACTGTGACTGTTGTTAGCTTTGCCAACTATGCATGGTTTGAAGAGTGGAAAGATGACAAAGTGAAGAACAGAAGCATAGATTATAAGGAGCTGAAGGAGGCGTTCATCAGTAAAATATTAGAGGCAGTGACTGAGATCTTTCCTAAGATCAAGGACAGGGTATGAACTCTCTAAACAGGGTCTAAACCAGGTCCTGCTCACATCTTGTATTATACACTCTTTTTGTGTTTTTTTTCTGTCTTTCTCTGTCTGTAGATTGAATATGTGGATGCAGGCACCCCAATCACAAATCAGCATTACATTGGTGCTCCTAAAGGGGAGATCTACGGTGCTGATCATGGTATTCCTCGCTTCAGTGTTGAACTAAACGCCACCATCAGACCACAGACACCCATTAAAAACCTCTTCCTCACGGGTGAGTTTGACTTAATGTATGCAGATGCATATGTATGCCATCCAAATGTAGGTTTTGAGATACATTCCATGCCTTACATTGTTTGTATTTGTTTTAGCTGATGGTACCTAATGTTTAGAAGAATGAATGGGCAAAGTGCTCTGGTTTATACCCTTTCTCTTTCAAATCTGTACTTTGCTTACAGGTCAGGATGTAATGTTGTGTGGCTTTGCTGGAGCGCTGACAGGAGCGCTGACGTGTGGTTCTGTCATCCTGAACCGGAATCTTCACCTGGATGCCATTGGTCTCGCCAAGAGAGTCAAGAATGGCAACAATAAGAAGAAAGAATAAGCATTAATAACATGTAATGTTCATAATCATTCTCAGAGATATCAGATATGGCTCTGGAGAAGAACAAATGGAGGATATGTGTGATTATTAACAAATTAACCACTGCACTGCCTGACAATAATGCACCACCGTATTTGCACCTAATCATTTTAAAATGATTTTATTGGCAAAGTGTTTACCAAGTGCCTTACTGGTTTAAAACTAAACTATACAGTAATTCCAAATCTAGTTTTTAATGGACATAAAAGGAAATAAATCCGATTCAGTTGATTAATTTAAATTGTTTTATTGTAACCTGTAATGCAGAGTTTTCCCATTAACCTTCTTTTTGAACGGTTTGTGTGAAAAGCAGAAGACATGCTTGGCACTATGTATTGTGAGTGTTTTGTAACTATGAACTAAAAACTTAGTTGCACTTAGATTTGATTAATTATTGTGGATATAGGCCTGTGGGTCTGTATAAAGGGTTTAAATGAATCGTACTCAAATAATATATTTGAGATGCTGTCTGATGATGTCATGTGCACATTTGTGTTTTTTGCTGCCTTTTTAAGTTGCAGTGAAATTTCAGACCGGTATAAATATACCTATAAATGTGCTTATTAATATACAATGGATGCTTGTGCATACTGAATAAATGTTAATTTCAACAACAAATCACTGTGTGGAATGTATCTGGTTTTAAGTCAAGGGGGCAGTGTGGCTGAAAGTTAAGTCTCAAAATGGCAGATAGTATATTTAATAAATGTCTATTTTCTTAATTTGTTTTCTACCCGGCTGAAAAAATGATCATCTTAAACAAGCCTGAATTAAATATATATATATTGCATTTTTTATATATGTCTAAGGTCAATGCATGGTACTGGTAGTAATATATGCAGGGTTTTAAAAAATTATTTTATACAATATATGATTTATTTTTGCTGTGCATAGATGTACATGTCGTTTCACATGAGAATATCTTTTCTTGGAATAGTTCACATGAGATGGGGGGATATCCAGAAAAAAATCCTCAGCTGTTAAATATATATATATATATATATATTGCATTTTTGATATATGTCTAAGGTCAATGCATGGTACTGGTAGTAATATATGCAGGGTTTTAAAAAATTATTTTATACAATATATGATTTATTTTTGCTGTGCATAGATGTACATGTCGTTTCACATGAGAATATCTTTTCTTGGAATAGTTCACATGAGATGGGGGGATATCCAGAAAAAAATCCTCAGCTGTTCATTGGTTGGTTTTGCAGATACAAATCTCACACCCCTGCATGTTGTGAGGTTTTATTAAAATCATGGGAAACAACGCGTACTGATCCGTGTCATTGATCTAAATTGGTAGACAGTCATTTTCCTGCTCAAGGTTTTGGATGACTGACAGAAAAGGTAAGTTACTTACAGTTTTATATCTGGTTTAGAAGAAGATATATCTTAGCCATATGAACAAATTCCGCAACGTGCACTCTTACCGCGGTATTAATTTAGATAAATTGTTAATAAACACCATTTTATCGCGAGATCCACGTGTTATGGATAAATCTAGTCACCGGTGATGACATCTTAATTTGAGTTTATTGACGCTAAGTGGAAAAGTCAAATATTATACAGGTTCCAATGAATTAACCAAGTCAGATTAAATTCATTTTAATCCCAGTAACGTTAAAACAATTATTTTTATTTTTTTGTAAGTTTACAAACAAATTTAATGTCAACAGGATGTCCTTTATTTTTTAAACAAAACAACACACACACATTCATAAATATTTGTTATATTTATGTAATTATATTAATTTTTTATTTTATTTTACAGTTAATTTAAACCATACAGTGCAGCTATATATGTATAGGGAAAACGACGGGGAGTTGAAAGCGTTTTACAAAGCTCTGTCCGATTTTCTTAATATTTTTATTCAGCACCCATTGCCTTTTGTCTCTTTCAGTAACACGGTCTGACAGATTGATCTGATCTAAACATGGATGACAGCTGTTGGGAGAGCTCAGATTATGAAATCTTGGCAGAAATCGGCCAGGGCGCCTACGGGAAAGTGTACAAAGCCAGAGAGAGGCGCGGGCAGCAGCGCTTCATAGCGGTGAAGAGGCTGAACATCCCCGAGGAGCCGGAGTCTGGCATCCCTCAGTTCCTGATAAGAGAAGTGGCTCTTCTGCGAAAAATAGAGCACTTCAACCACCCGAACATAGTCAAGTGAGTGTGGAAACGGTCAAAAATGCCACATACAAGCATAATGAATTTTCAGTTGGAGTAATATGGCATTTCTCCTTAGGTTGCTGAATGTATCAGCTGGATGGCAAAACCAGAAGTTTGACCTGACCTTGGCGTTTGAGTATATTGATCAGGATCTGACTGCATTTCTCAGCAGAGCATCAGAAAAAGGCCTGGCCAGGGACAAAATCAAGGTATTAACCTTGCTCCTCTTATTTGGCAGTGACTTAATCTTTCATATTCAGTTGAATAAATTAGTAATAGGGAAAACCAGGGTTAATTTTCACAGTTTTACTCTTGTAAAGGTTTCTGTTTGAAAAGCAATTTCTGTATAGACATACCTGAAAGTCTTTGCTACAAAAAAAAGTAATTGTACACTGCCACCATTATAGCCCAGGAAAGAAGATACAGTTCTTTGAATGTACATACACCTTTGGTGACAACATGCCCTAATGCGGTAGCATATTCTCACACTGTATGGATCAATTAAAGACTAGAGCATAGATTTGTGCGTTTTTTCCTCTCTCTTTATATAGGATGTGATGCGTCAGCTGCTCAGCGGACTTGACTTCCTCCACACTAACACCGTCATTCACCGGGATCTAAAGCCAGACAATGTGCTTGTGAGCAGTCGAGGGGAGGTCAAGATTGCAGACTTTGGTTTAGCCAGGATATATACATACCATATCGCCCTCACCCCATGTGTATGGAGCTCAGATTCACATTCACAGAAATATGTGTGGTGGTAGTGAGCACCTACATGTGATGTATTTGTATTTGTGTGTGTGTAGGTTGTGACTCTGTGGTACAGGGCTCCAGAGGTCCTGCTGCTGTCCAGTTACATGTCTTCTGTGGATATGTGGAGTGCTGGGTGCATCTTTGCAGAGCTCTTTCTGTTAAGGTAAGAGCATAACAGAGTTCAGAGAGACATTTTATAAAAAAAAAATTTCAAGGACATTATTATTAGTGGTGACAGTAAAGACATTTATATACTGTTACAACAGATTTCTATTTCAAATAAATGCTGTTCTTTTGAACTTCTATTCTTCAAAGAATCCTGAAAAACTTATGACAGTTTCCACAAAAATATTAAGCAGCACATCTATTTTCAACATCATTCATTCTTTCATTCATCTTTCTCTCTCACCTTTTCTGCAGGCCTTTGTTTCGTGGATTCACAGAGATCCAGCAGCTGCAAAAGATCTTTGAGTGAGTCAAAATACTTATGCATTTCCAAATCCCAGTTAAAATGTATTGCAACCAAGAAGTACAGCTTTTGTGGTCATTTGTGGTCTTGCATGTTCGCTCTCTCTCAGGGTCATTGGATTGCCGGGTGAGGAGGACTGGCCCATAGAAAGCCCTGTCTGCTACAGCCCTGCCTGGGCTGAGAAAAAGCCTACAAAGCAACTACTGCCCAGTCTCGCCCATGAGGAGAATGACCTGCTGTCTGTAAGTGTTACTCATTTATTGCTATTAGGATAGAGATTTTAGTGACTGGTACTCAAAATACACATATAAATAACTTTTCTTTCCTCGCAGCAATTTTTGGCTTTCAATCCAGCTCATCGCATCTCTGCCTGTAGAGCTTTGGCCCACCCTTTCCTGGCAGACTGCAACGGTGAAGATGAATGACAGATGAGTGAAGAGGGCGGGGTCACATGATTAGAGAGGCTCCTCCCACTCAATCAGGGGTGCACCGACAATTATTCTGTTAGATTGATTTTTTTTTTTTATAATGGAGTAAAGTGCAAGACCTTAACCTGTAGATCACGATTTTTTTTTCTAATGAAAATGAGGTGCAAACATTTTTGGTGAAAATTTAGCATTTTACTGGTACTGCTAAAAAGAAACAAATGCCCTTAAAATATCCAGCTGTTTTTGGAGCTCTCGCTCCTTTATATACCATCACCTTGTTCATGTGTTTACAATGGTGAAGAATGAGAATTTGTCTTTTTCATGTGCGACAACTCTCTAATAATGACATTTTTGTGTATGTTGCAGCACAATTGGTTGTCAAACAGGTAAGTTTAATGTTTCCAGTTAGTTTCAGCATGCTACCTTAGAGATGCTTTTGAAAGTTGACTTTTAATGATGTTTTGTGTTTGTTTTGGCATCATTTGGAAGTGTTTGCTTATTTTTAATCACATGTAGTGTTTTAAGTTCTGAGCAAATTGTTTGAAGTTTTTATGTTTTCTGTTCCTGATGAATTTGCGGTAAACACAAACTAGAGCCAACAGTGCCTGTTTGTTATTAAATGGGGTGAGATTGATATTTAAGCATAGTTATGACATTATGACCTTTCAAATGAATACAGTAAATTACATTGGTAATTGAATGCACATTTAACTATTTTCTTCATACTGGCACTTCAGTAATAAAACTGCAATTTCAACATTGTTTACCACCTTTCTTCTTGATCCCCAGTTAAGAATTTCCGTTCAATTAATCTAATGCAATTAGTAAAGAAGATGACCACAGTATCTTGCTGATGACAGTTAAGGAAGGTGGCCACTGGGAGGCAGTCATGATTGTTTTTATACATTAGCACATGACCATAAATTGGTTCAGGCACATGGAGTGACATCTGCCATTCCCAAGAAACACTGACTTTTAAAATTAGTTTAAAATTAAAAGTCCTATCAAATATTTCTGTTTATGGTTAGCTGGCCTTCGTTCCTCCCAATAGTAACAGTGGCTTTGCATTTACTGACATGTCGCCTGGATTTTTGTTAGTTTGTTTTCTAAGAAACTACTTTGTTGTTTTCATGTGATGTCAACATAATGCGACCATGAGGGGGCGACACGCTCCATGTAGAACGCAACAATGATAAGTCCTCATTGTTCTATTCGTATGTTCATGTGTAAAACTTTTTAATTAGCAAAAAAAAAAAATCACTAAGGGCGACAATAAATAACAGTTAGCTGTTTAATAAACTGAGCTGTTGCCCCTTCACTGTTGCCCTAATCATGGGGGTAGGTCTATTTTTATCTCTCTCTCTCTTTTTCTCTCTCTCTCTCTCTCTCTCTCACACACACACACACACACACACACCCTAAAAGGGCTTTTCACACTCTCTCATTGGCCATTGGGGTGGTGTGTGTGTGTGTGTGTGTGTGTGTGTGTGTGTGTGTGAACCTGTCAGAGCTGATCCGAGCGCACAGCTGGTCCACCTACAGATCGAGTAAGTACAGTCATTAATTTCTGCAGTAACATTTATCACGAGTTTTAAGAATAACAACAGGCAGATTTTCCTTTCGTTGTGAAACTTAACGACAAAACGATCAACGTTGAAATTAATTTGATAAAGTTGCTTTGGCAGGCATTTTAGCATAGCGTCTTTCTCGTGTAAGCGCTGGATTTTGCTTGCAGACCAAATGGACTTTTATTGTGTCTTTAGTGTGTAAAATGAATGAAATGCTATATCTGCTTCACTGTCCTGCTCACTATCTGCTTACTTGCACCTATTTTCAGCGCAGCAAACGCACCTGTACACCTCAAACTCAATAACTCACTTCATCAAGTTTCTTATAGCACTATCTATAAATGTACGCTACTGCAAATTCAAATGACTTAGACATTTGTTGATTTAGAAGAATCATTCGTCTATGCGGAACATTATTTTCATATTGTGGTCGTCTGCATTTTCTCGCCAGAACTTGATAAGTATGATGACTGTTTTAAGTGATTAATGTAACACATACTTGAAGTTTTATATATAATGCATATACATGTATTCTGCATGTATAATGCCGTAATGCTTTATATCTTAATCAGGCTATTTAAAGGCTATTTTTAAGAATAAATGTAACTACAGATATAGTACTGTATATTTTAATATTTCACTATTAATTGTTATACCTTTGCACAGTATTATAGGATATAATCAGCATCCAGCTCTGTTATATCATTATACCCTTTAAAGGTGTAACCAAGAATAGATATTAAAATGTCGGCAGATATTTGCAGTTATCGTTATGAATACCTCTGTAATGTATTATATGTACAGGCTTCAAATAAAGTGTTACAGATTATTATTATTATTATTATTATTATTATTATTATTATTATTAAAGTTGAGTGACAATTACCAGTGAAGGACAATGAACATAATGGGAATAAGTCCTTAATAAATTGTGTCTTGGAAATTCTTCCTTCCTGGCCTGCAATGAGGTTATGAGTTAGTCTTTGTGTCTGTTGTGTGTTTGTGTGTGTGTGTGTCTGAGGGTCTAGCTTGTGTGACCTGTGTGTTGTGTGAGTATAACTAAGGTCAAAAGCTATGACATTTCTGTCATCCACTGCCATTTATTTATTATGTTCATTCTGTTCCTGGTTAGCATCTTAAACATCTTTGTTTAAGTTGTTGTACTGTTTACCACTTGTCTTTAGGCTATTACTATGTCTGTCATTATATGTTAAATATAACCGTGACATTACATTACCTGATCATTGCTCAGGATGGGGGCTAGAAATGCTGGAATCCCATCATGGTTGTAGCTGTAAGTCCATGAACTTGCTCCACTCCGAATCCTTGTGATGTAACAGAGTAGAATGACATGTAATGGGATGTGTCTTGTAGTAGTATGTCGTATAGCAAACAGAGTCTTTAAAATAGCCATACCAATCTTTTTTGTGCTGGACATTTACACACTTTTTTCTTTTTTGCATTTTTTTTTTTTGCATTTGATTACGATTGATTTGACAAATCACACACACACACACTGACTCTTCATATATGTAATGATTTTTATACTTTACAAACTGTATTTTCTATCCCCTAACCCCACCCCTCACAAAATACTACTGGCATTTTTTAAATTTCAAACTGTTTAGTATGTATTATATTATATTAATTTCAAACACTGTTTAGTGTGTTTTTTAAAACATTTAGTTCACGAGGACACAGAAAGTGTCATAAACCATGTTTACGTTGTAGTAAACATGTCATCATTATACACATTTGTCCATGTATTCAAGCACACACACAGTACATATAGCCTCTTTCTGCAGGTTACATTAGTATGTGGTGACAAGTGACTGTAGGTGGAGTTCAAATGACACAGATTCTTTATGAATGAGTCTTTGAATCATTAACTCAACTGATTTGTTCAAAAACACCAAATCATTAAAGAAAAATACACTACTGTGTATTGAAACAGATCTGCTGTGGCTTTGCATGGAACCTTTTTGGTTGGAAAAATATAAACAGACAAACTGGCAATTATGTGTCTAAAATGTAAGTTATGCAATAATAACTTATTTATTGAACTGTTTACTGTTTGATGTTTTGACTTGTAGATGCCATTAACAGTTTAAAAACAAAAGACAGGGTAATAGAATAATAATAATAATAATAAAAAGTTATAGAAATGTATATATTTTTCAAAGGTAAACTTAACTTAAACTTAACTTGCATTTTTAGAATGCCAGCACATGTTTGCATAAATGGAAAAACATCATGTGAAAGCTATCATTGGTAGTTCTAACGTGATGCTTGTGAATTAGTAATGGAAGCTTGGATGCGTGTTTTGATTTTGCAATGTCAGATCTTGAATATGTGGCCATAACACACCCTTGCTAAGATGTGCTTTTAGGTATTATTGTAAACTCCAAAGATAAAAAGTCCCACACTTTTTAAATTTTTTTATTTGATTTTAGTGGCTAAATTTCATATTCATAAAAATCCATGTTTTATAGCATTTCAAAATGTGAAGCATTATATTGAGTTCTGCCCTCGAAGAAACAAAAAGCTATTCGAATTTTGCAAGCTTGTACACTCTTTAATGTATTCCTATAATATTGTTTATATCTCCCCCTAGCATTTGAAAATGTTTGTATGTGTTGCTGTTGTAATTGTATTGTTATTCTGTTCAATAAAAAAACTCTTGCTTGATTGATATTGCTCTAATACAGTGAATTATCTAACAGCAATTCATTATCAGATAAATTTGTAATAATTTAAGATTAACAGCCAATAAACAAATTGCAACAAATTATTTTTGTAAATATAACTATTAAACAGTAGTGTAACATTTTTGTTATAATAATAATAATAATAACAATAATAATTTATTATTATTATTATTATTATAGTAGATATTCATAAATACTTCTTTTTGTAACCTGGTTCATTATTATTGTGTCAAAAAGCAGAAATACAACAATAATTTAAATCTTAAAATGTGTATCGTACTGAATCTCACATGCTGTTTTTCTTTTCAAC